ACTGTGGTAAAGAAAATTGTTTTGGCGGTGACTGTTGGAAGGTCGGTGGTTTGGAGGAAGAAGGATGGCGTGAGTGTTTCGGCCGGGTCCCGCTAGAGGACTCATCAGTAAGGTTTTTGTAGCGGGTTCTGCCTTAGACTTTGGGATGTGGGAAGGACGGACGAAGTTTGTATAATATACAAACTGAGGCAGATCGGTCACGTGCGGGAAAAGAAAATCCATTTGCTGACGAGTCTGGAGGTAGCCGTCACAGTGTGTTCAACGTTGCATAAATCTACGAAAAAATGGTGGTAAGTAATGCCAGATTAATGAATTAAAAACAATAATTAAACTTAACCTAAACGTCGTTATATATTTAAGATACATTTAAGGCAATTTGTCATTTCGTATAATTAGTTAATTTCTTATGTTAGGCAAAACAGAAAAAACTTAAAATTAGTGCAATTAAAAGGAGCAATCAGAAAAGGACCAAACTTATGAAACAAGGAAAACTTAAAACAAGGCGACATAAACCGAAAAAACAAGTTCAAAAAGTAGTACAATCACATCCAGAATCAGTGGAAGAAGAAGAGAGTGATCATGGAGAAGATCTTTTGAATATGGTCGAAGAAGATGACTTAGAATTTTTGGAGAAAGCTATCTCTAATAAATCCTATAATTTATTGAAACATATACATCTAAACCAGTATGTTAAATGTTCGATACCTTTATTATAGTATTTTGATAAACAATTGTTTATAATTATGTGTAATTTAGAACAGATAATAGAAAAGATAAAAAAAGGAAAAGTAACGGAACACTAGAGGAATTATATGAAAATAATGTTTCAAAAATAGCTGAAGAAAAAGGAAACAAGAAAGTTCGTCTACTACTTCCTACAAAAACTCAAAATGGGATTATAGAAAAAAGAGTAATAGAAGTTGATGATAAAGATAAAGAAAATGAGTCTAATGAGGAACAAAATGTAGAAGATGAGAATGTGGAAGGAGAAGTAGAGGTATGTGTAATAATACTCATATCATATGAAACATTACTTCAATAGCAAGAATCCTTATATATGTATGAATTAACTGATATTTCAGAATGAAGTTAAAGATGAAGGTGAAAATAAGAAGCCTGTGTCTATGATTGAACTCTTAGCGTGTCGTAGAGAAGCACTAACATCAAAACGTTTAAAAATTGGTTTACTTGCTAGTACTCTTTTAGAAACACCAGAGCATAAATCTGATAATTTCAAAGCTTTGCTAGATTTTATGGAAGAATCAGATCCAGAAGTATACATTACTGTTAGAAAATTGGCAACAGTATCTTTGTTAGAAGTCTTCAAAGACTTATTACCGTCTTATCATATTCTACAAGTTCAGCAAGAGGGTGTAAAATGTATGCAGCTATCATTGGTGACATTATTTATATTTTAACAATATGCTGTAGCATATATGATGAACATTTTTTGATTCTTTAGTAAAGAAGGATACATTGGCACTACAAAATTATGAAAGCACTCTATTAAGAAATTATAAACGTTATCTGCAAAAATTAGAAAAGATGTCTGGTGTATTACGAAGAAAAAAAGGAGATACACGACCATTAAAAGAAGAGGAAATTGAATTAGGAAAGCTTGGAATAACGTGCATGTGTAGTATTTTAACGACGCATCCTTACTTTAACTACTCCATTAATATAGCCAATTTTTTGATACCGTTTCTTGATAATAAACTTGAATTTGTGAGACAAGAAGTGGTTAAATGTATTTCTCAAATATTCAAGGAAGACAAACGAGCTGAATTGTCTCTTACAGTAAGAAATCCAAACTATAATTTTAAGGTGCACTCTAATAATATTAATTATATTGTTTCAATTTTCAGATCGTACGTAGACTAAATCAGTACATAAAAACAAAAGCTCACTCTGTTCATTCTGAAGTTCTATTTGTACTTTTATCTCTTCGTATAAAAGATGTGAATTTGGATAAAGAGAAAGAGGAGGAAAGTAAGCAAAGAAAACTTATGTCTCACAAACAAAGAATTCTTGCTTTAAGTAAACGAGAGCGAAAAAAGAGTAAAAAGCTTGAACAAGTAGAAAATGAGTTGCTTGAAACCAAAGCAGAAGAGAATAAACACACTAAACAGAAACTCCTTACTGAAATTACTAGCATAGTGTTTACTATTTACTTTAGAATATTAAAGCAAACACCTAATAGTAAAATTCTGTCCATTTGTCTGGAAGGCCTTGCAAAGTATAGTAATTTTTTCTACATCTAATTACTTAATATATATCACGTTATATAATATTTCATTCTACGTAATAATTACAGATTTGCACATTGCATAAATTTGGAGTTTTATCAGGATTTAGTGACTGTTATAAATAAATTGATGGAAGAAACGAATTTGAGTCTAAGAGATCAATTGTATTGTATACAATGCGTATTCACAATATTATCAGGTCAGGGATCGGCATTAAATCTCGATCCTTATAGGTATGTGTCTCAGAAAAAGCAATTATCCATTTAGAGGAGAAAATTAAACGTACAGTTTTTTATTTTATAGGTTTTATGTACATCTATATAAAAATTTAATAAATATCCATTGTGGTAAAACTCATCCAGAATCAGAGATTCTTATAAAAGTTTTAGTACAAGTTTTAATTCAAAGGAGAAAAAGAATCACGCAAAATCGTTTAATAGCGTTTCTAAAAAAAATGGCTATTGTGTCTTTACAATCTCAGCATAACACAGCACTCAGCATTCTTGGAATAATAAAACAAAGTATGCAGCTTGGAAAAACTGCGAATATTTTGCTAGACACAGATTGCAGTACTGGAGATGGCTTTTATCAACCAGAATTAGAAGAACCTGAATGTTGTAATGCACACTGTACAGCATTGTGGGAACTCGCAGCTTTGCAAGTACGTAATCATAAAACTTTATCAATAACAACAGATATCTTCAAAGTTCTATCAATTATCTATACTTTTACTATTTTATCTTTGCAGCGGCATTATCATAGCGTCGTCCAGAATATAGCGAAAAATATAGCTTGGGGTGTACCATCCACTGGGGAAGGTAGTTTATCCCCTGAAATTTCAAAATTGTAAGTAAAACATTTCGTTTTTATGGACTGATGTTTTTAGATAAATGATGTCAATCATCTAATTTTTTGTAGAACTCCAGAAGAACTGTACACTGAGTATGATCCTACTGGTGTTGCATTCAAACCAGCTGTACCAGTTCCCAAGAAGACAACTAGAAAGAAGACAATAGCGACACATCATTTTGTTAACAGTCAATTCGGAGATTACGTTAATAGCGTAAATAACTCTGAATTGTTTGCAGACGGATACGTAGATTTTTATAATGCATATTGCAGTTAACATTACCTACAATACAAATTACAAAGAATGAAATGAGCAATATATTATTTTAAACCGTGCATACTTTGTAAATATTTATTTACGATCTTCAAAATTCTGTACGCAGCTATGAAATAAGTAGCATTTCGAAGTAAATAAATTAAACAGCAAAATTTTATTGTACTAGAAGATTCGACAATGAAACAAATGTACAACAATAATCGTGATTCACATTTTCATAAACCATTGTATTTACAATGCATATACAGTTATTATCACAATCGATATAATTCAAAATTAAATTATGTTAATTGATTTCTAAAATTTAAAATAACTTATTAAAATAAATTCATAATAAATAGCTTGTTTTTTAACTAAAAGTATTAGAATCATTGTGTGAGAACAGGCTAGATATACGTATTTGTTGGAAACTTTTTCCTAAAAAAAGAAACTTAAATCGTTCTCAACTCTTTATGAAATGTATGTAGTAAGAAAATGTTAATACATTAATCCTAGAATATTTTATAAGATTGGCATAAGATAATATTTCTTTGCATAGATAAATTTGAAATTATATAAAAGATTGCTCACTAGTAGTTTTTTATCTGTAAAATGCATTCTATACAGTATCTGTGAAAATCCATGGAACATCCCAGTAGCATTGCATTTTTATTACATTCATACTATAAAATAAGGAACAATATACGATTAATTATTATTAAAGCTGTTTAACCAATAACATTTACATAATTATGCTAGCCATACAAACACATTCTATTATTTGTAATTAGATAATCTATATGTGGAAGTTAATTCCATCGTCAAGTTTGGAATTCTCCGAACAAGTCTCTTCGTTTACTTTCGTTTCACACGGAATTTGTTTTACACTGTCCTGTTTCGTTGGCGATGATAAATCGATTTTTTGTAAAGGTATATATTTACGCTCTATAATATTCATTTTTATTGCATCTTCTATTTCTATTGTTTCATCTAGGTACCTCTCTTCGTTTCTTATCAGTTTCTTTGATGTGATTTGTGCAGTTTTATCAAGGGTCAAAAGTTTAGGTGTATTCATTTTGTCAATTGTCTTCGTAACAATTACTTGTTCGTTTTTATCATTTTGATGGGGAAGTTGCGAATTCCTTTTAGCAAGTATTATTTTAGTGTACTTTATAGTGGGTTGGTTTGTACGAGTTTGCATTGGAATTGTAGTTTTAGTTTTCGATATAGTAGGATTTTGTGGTCTCGTCTGTAGTATTACATGATTTAAATTTTGCACAGCTACATTGGGACATATGATAGTTTGAGCAGAAGGCGTGATAAATTTGTTAGTTTGTTGCTTATCATGTTTGTTACTTATGAGAACAACTTTAGTGCTGCTATTCAATTTACTTGTACTTTTTTCATGAACATCTATAGGTACAGTTACTTGCGATAGAGATGGATTTTTTTCAATGGAATTTAAATTATCATCATCTTTTGCAAATATAATTGGTATGTCCAAGATGTTTCCTAAATCATCATCAATATCATTTGCAAGGCAATTCTTTTGTACAGTCTGCGGTTTTGCTTTGTGAATTCTCTGCAAGCTGGATGTGTTAACTGTGATTTTTGGCATTGTTTTTGTAGATCGTTGGGTGGGTTTTAACTTGGTAGATAGTGGTAAGATAGTGCCTGAACTATGACTATTGAATGGTACTATCATCGGCGAACAAGTAGGTTTAGTATTAAGAGAACTTTCAACCATGATTATATTCCCACATGATGTATTATGAGAGTTATCGTTGTTGTTACAGGTTGTTACTTGTCGAGGTAATTGTGACATCTTGAACGTATCCAATGAATGAGTAGAACTGAGGATCACATGTGAAGAGTTACTGGTTGTTGCCATGTCGTCCATCACTATAAAATATATAGGTACGTATCAACAAGTTTTTAAAGTATAGATCAGCAAGTATTCCACTGATTTAATATGAACACCATTCAAGGATATAGATATGTTCAGAAATTATGGGAGACTCATTCTTAATGTACTATAAACCATGCACGAGCTATAAAAATAATAACAAAAGTTTAATAGCTTAACTAATATTTGTACTAACAGTGTTATCATACAGATATCATTATATCTTTTCGTCAGATATGTATACTGATAGAATACTTTTTTTGAAAAATATTACTGTATAGCTTAAGTAAAGATTGATACAAATCGTTAATGCAAATAGGATCGGGGTTAGGAAACAAATAAATTCAAATTACATGAAAAAATATTTATTTAATACAAAATAAAGGGTAGCGCTAATATATGTACAAGACATTACTTTAAATATTTTTGAATATATAAACTTATATTAATTGTAAAATAATATTAATACATGCTATATTTTATAACAAATATATGTATATGTATGTAATCCCCTTGTTATCTTTATGTAGCAAAATCAACAGTTATTATTAAATGCACTAATAATAAGTAAAAATATAATACGACTAGAAATAAATATGATCAGTTAAGTTTATTTGACTAATGCAGTCATACTACAGAAACACATTTCAAATAAAAAAGGCTACTAAAATCAGATAAAAGTTTGAACCACAATCTATGAACATAATAACAAAAAAATGGAAACAACTGTAACAAGACTCCTGTATCAATGGTGTTCATGCATAATGTGTTTTGTTTTTCCATAAATTAGGAGTCCTTCCAAATTGATAAAATAAATTGTAAATAAAAGTATAAAATTGAATAAAATAAACAGCTAATCAAGAAAAAAGTATATTTGATGAATAGTAATATATTGAAAAAATGCTCTAGTCTATACATGAAATTTTGTTTTATGTACGCGGGACATTTCTACAAAAGAAACTCCTATAAGCTTCTGTAAGTATTATGGATAGATGACATGGAGCCTCCTTCCAGTGCTCTTATCTCTTAAAATATAATTTATTAATACTGGAAATGATCTGTACATTTTTATTTTTTATACTCTTTTGTTTTTGTTTTATAATGTTTTCATATTTCTTTTAATTTCGTTTTTCTATGTTGTGGATACTTTCAAACAAATTGGAAAATTTATTTATTTGTGATTTTTTATATGTATTTTATAGGGATGTATGAAATACATTTCAAAGATACATATTACAATTATATAACTTTCTATGCATATGTACAAGATTTATCAAATTTAGGAAAAAATACTTTCTGTCGAGGAAAGAAAGAGGATATATAATTACGTTTCAGTAAATAAAGTTTTTACAATACTTTCGTTGTATCAATATACTCTTAAAAGTAATAATTAAATTTTACCAATTTTTATAATGTCCTAATTTCGTACTTGTCAACGCTATTTATATTTCATTGAAAACTCAGAAATATTACGACGTTGGCAAATTATTTAGTATTTGATTAGATAATAATATTCTACCTTTTGATATTGTAGATGAGGTTGGTGTTACATTATTTGCTGCAGAATTGTTTGGGGTCAGTAAGATGCTAGAAGCTGTTGGTACACGAGTAGACGATGAACCTGTCGCGAGTGTGAGAGAACTTTTGCCATTTTGTAGCATATTTGGTAAATTGCCATTCGACGTACCAATTCCGGATTTATTATGTATTACTATACACAGGAAGAAATGAATATTCATTAAATATAATATACAATTGTAGATTAAAACAGAATACAATAATTACAGAACATTTACCTGCTGTAGTCGGAGTAGTAACTCTAATTTGGTTTCCAGAACTCGTCAATACATTAACTAACTTCGCGTCTCCGTTTTTATCAGGCATATTAATGTGCCTATAGTTATTAGATATTACTTTAGAAAACCCTTTGCCTGACGATACTATAGCTTTCATTTTTGAAATGTTCTGCAGCTGAACGCTTGTTGGTGTGAGTTTAGATACTTTAGTTGAGGACATTGAAGGTTTAGCAGTACTTTTGACTACAGGAGAAATGGTATGACTAGTTGATGCTGGTGCTAGTCGTATTGGACCAATGGGTGCTAAACTTGCTAAGGAACCAATGTTTAAAGTTATACCACCATTGTCTGTGGTAGAGTTTTGCTGTAAGAAAAATATTTGCTATTGCATTTACTTCTTCTAAAGACATATTGCACATTGTTATACTGCTACTGTTTTACTGCTTACCTGACCAGACAGCCTGGACGTTATTAAATGCTCTACAAAGTGTGCTTTCTGATTACTAATTACACGAGGTTTGCGTTTCACGTTGTGTGTGTGACTTGTATGTGCTGCACTTGCAGTTACTAAATTCGACTGTGCATTAAGTGTCCCTATTTTCGAAAGTGCAGGCGATGATGTATTTTGTCCAAGAGACACTGCCGAAGAAATAGGTGTGTTTGGTCGAGACTTCTTTACAGTTGGAGAATTTGGTTCACTTTCGACTGAACTGCTTGTCGAATTTCTTCGTTTTCGCGGTTCTTTTCTGCTGTTTTTACTTTCGAAACTCGATAATAAGGTTGATCTTAATGGCAGAGGTTGTGGTTGTAAAAGAATGCTGCCTACAAAATCTCCAATCTCATCCAGAATACATCTGTCCACCATGCTCTGAGTAATACCCTCAAATATCTTTTTCGCAGTAGATATCCTCAAATGATCATCTGCAGTTCCAACTACCACCAAACTTGTCTCGACCAACATCTTTTCTCGAAGATCTTCTAAATCATCGGATCTCGCAAGGGTAGCATTTTGCCCGATAATGAACATAACTGGACAACGAATATCCATTAACGTATCATCGGGAGTACCCCTTTTCCCTTCAACCGTAGAGAAGGGAAATCCAAGACAAATAACTGCAGTCACGTGTTCCATTTGTGCAACCTATAAATATTTGAATGCAATATTAATATTAAATTATGTAATATGAGACACAGAGAGTATTTTAATAATGTATTGATACTACCTGGCATGCGAGAGCAGCACCAGCATTAAAACCAACTAGTATTATCGGTCGTCCGGGACAATCACTTCTAATGTCCTGTATTTTTGTCCTAGTAGCTTGTACTAATTGGTCGATGCACACCATCATAGTCATTCTATTAGCTGCTAAACCTAAGTGTGTATGTACAGTAACAACCATTCCTAAAGCTCCCAATTGCGATATCCATTTATGTTGCCTCGACGACATGCTAGAACCAACCCCGGTAGGTGTTATTATTAGAATCGGATTTCCTGGTAATTTTTTCTGTAATAATAACGTTAATAGTCAGGATACATGAATATATATACAGGTAAGTTGTAACGATCTAAAAAAATTTCATTACAAGTCTATTGCCATTTAAACTTGGAGCAATTGGATCCCATGATCTTTTTAAAAGCGTTCCAAGAGTTTCCCATGTTATAGAACCTGTTTTTGCATTAATATTTGGCTGCACAGCAATCATCTTATCAATAAGTTGTGGAATTTTCAGTCTTAAAGTTTGCAATATATCAAGATAAATCCCAAGGTATTCTTGAGGAAGATGATCGAATAATAAGCTGTGCAACCATTGAGCAAGTCTCCAATCCCAGCCTGCAGAAGCCAATGTTTCTCGAAATCTTCTTGCAGCTGTATCTACTGATGTCCGCCGAAATATTGGTTCTATAGCACTAGTTGATTTAGCTAATCTCGCGAGTCTCTCTGAATTAAATATTTTAAGGACTTTGGTGAATATTCTATTCTGTACAGGAGTCCATAAGATTTTATCAAGCTGCTCTTCCCAATCTTCGTTTTCATCTGGCCTGGCAAAATTTGCTAAACCTTGAAGCTCATCCATTTGATTTCTAGATCTTGTTAAATCCAGTGGCGGTACCAGCGATTCATTGCTATCTTTTACCACGTCGACTTCTTCATCTTGACCAGATTTCTCCCTAATACAATAATTGTTATAGTATAAGTTTTTTATTTAGCATACTGAGCTCAATTCATTTTCTACATTTAATTTCTTACGTTGATGAACTTCTTTTAGGAAAAAATAACTTTTTTAGGGGTTTCACATATATATTTTCTGGTCTCCAATTCCATGGCCTAGCATAACAATGATCCCTTGTTATCATATCAACTTCCATCTCATAGCACCCAGCAAGCTGGTGTAAATATGTTGTTAATCTGTTTGGATTATCATCGATTGTGTCACTCATAGGGCTTGGAACTCTTGAGCCACTTATTGATGTAGATGGTATTGCTGACGTTGGTGTCAACATCATTATTGTAAATTACTAACACAAAATATATCCATAAGTATAATTAACCTCGGTTTGATTATACTGGATCTGTTTAAACCATTTATTCCATGACTTTTATTAGATTTCTTAAATGTATGTCGCTAGAGATAATTAGAAACTTATGTTATTATTATATGATATTTATATTCTTCACTTTAACATTAAAAATATACAGAAAAATTTAAACAATAGAGTGTATACATTCAAATTAATTGTAATAAAATGTATATAAACACATGCATAAATACTATTTTCCATTATGTAAATTACTTTAAACGTAAAAAGTGGTGCAGTATATTTCCCCCGTAAAACTAACCTGCAATATGCATTAGTTTCAAAATTTTGTCTTGTAGCATCGCAATGCCAAGTCTTATATCATTACACAGCCGTATATTAAATAACAGATATCGTTTTAATGGAATCTGTTGCAAGAAAAGGAGGTAGAATATAAATATAACACGAGTGTGTGGGTAATTGTGAATATGGGGCTGTGATTGGACTCCGCATGGGCTCCAAAATATGCATGCACATAACTACATACGTATGTACACATATTGTATACACTATTTTTGCATATCCAATAATGTACGAATCTATTAGATTCAACTGTGCATTTATTACATCAACATCCAATATTCGATGGTGTCGAAAGCATATGACCCCTAAAGATAATAAAATCACTCGGAATTAGCTTTTCTAATGCTAAAAATTGGAACAAGTACAAGAAATATTGTGGGTCCAAATAAACCTAATTGCTGACGTACGCGTGAAGGGATCAAATCATCAAATACTCGATCAAATGAGAATGAACAAACTGAACATAAACATGAATACATAATTAGATGGATGCGAATAATTACAATTTGCGTACGAAGCGATATTTAGATCAACAGATGGTCACTATGCAATATATTTATATATATGTATGTATACACATACACACGCTCGCACGCACACACGTGAACGTACATTTGAATGGTCTACAATGGATCTAGACTAATTGACCAATCGCGGACTCGGAAATCAAGTTTTAAATTTTAGTGTTGGCTTAAAATTATTTATGGAATTGCATAAATTATATTTTATTATTGTCCAGCGAATGTATTAATCTTCCTTCGATTTGATAAGATTTTTTTTTCGAAAAGTTTAAACATTCCATTTCAACATGGCAAGTTGTATTTTTGTACTTATGTACATATCACAATAAAGTCTGATTCACAATTGACATTTTAGTATGTACCTAGCTGAACATCGCTAGCATCGAATCAAATAATTATGTACAATTAAAATTGAAATATTTGGGCAAGAAAAATGTAACGTATTCGGTGTTGTTTTTCCAATAGTATATTAAAATGTATTTTTATGTATTTTATGTATACATCGACTAAATAAGTGCTATAACATATCTTGAAAAACTTCAACATAAATGATTGGTTAACACTTATTTTTTTAGAAAAATAGCATTAGGTCATTAACGTAAGTAGGTAAATATTAAACTGCGGGTATTTATGCAAATTTACAGCTTGTACGATAAACCTATGCAAATCTAAAGAAACTCGATCAATACAAAATGAACATTTTACTTAAACTTTTATATGAATAGATACAGTGAACAATGAGACATTAAAGTTCAATAAATCGTTTCTTCCTTATTTTTTATAGATTTTTATAAGAAGTAAATGTGTAAAAATCTGCACTATAGTAATTAGAAATCATTTAATCATATACCTTTTTTT